CTACCCCCATCTCTGCTATGGGGTAATCTCTAGCAGAAGCAAACCAAGCAGGTGGAGTTGGATGAGGGCTAAATGATAATGTTTTAAATGACTCCAGAAAAAATGGCATGTCCTTATATATCATGTGCTTGAGTTTCTGAAGATAATGAGTACCCTGTATTCATGTGGGCCCAGACACTGTGTAAGCCTGCAGCTTTAGAAACATGTGATTAATTCCCATGTCACCAATCTCTCAAGTCTAAAATCTCTTGGTCCAACAGTCCCTAGGTGAAATAATAGGGGAAATAATTTATAATGGAGTGCTGACTATTTTCTCCTCCCTGATACTTAATTTATTACAGTTAAACCATTTGAAAATACTTGCTTCGTGTAACAGTCCTGCATAGAAATCTGTACTTGTTCCATGTGTGAAACACTACTTCATGGCTAATTTGGGAGTGTTGGTGCCAGCAAGATGATCAGACCATGTAGCTATGCTCTTAACAGGTTTACCTTTTTTTGAAGTCCATTTATGTACTTTCAATTTGTATATCTAATTCAAAGGCATTTGGATGCATTTCATAAAGGCTGGACTAAGAAAGGCGATCTTGATAACCAAATACGTGTAACTGAATAAGCACTTGTTGGCTTTTTCTGTAGCATCTTTGCATTTTTCAGCAACGGCAGAGTGGCAGAATATTTTTTTTGTGAAGTGAATAATGAGTTTTCCATTTTTTCTTCCTGACAGTTTGCCTTGAATCGGTGGAGATACAGATGATTTGGTTACATCTGTCTTAATTCCTGAGGCTCATAAATTGATTTGTAAGAAACAGAAGCTCTCTTGTTATTACTTGCCAGTACTTTGCAGCTGTGTGTGTTGGGACATGGCCCTTACGGTCAGAGTCTTGTGCTCTTTATGCATCACAGCTAGAAATCTCCGACCAAAAGAATAAGCAGGATTGCAGCAGTGATATGATGCTTGCCAGTTTACGTAGTGTTGATGCTTGATGAGTTCCAGCTTAAACGTAGTACAAACATTAGCTGTTTGGCTGCTTCACTGGAACACTGGGTGAACCAAAGAACTGGACAGACAAGTGGGAAAGGATGCTGTTCAAGTGTTTCCTTGCAATGCAAGGACATGCTTACGTCTATTCTGGACAATGTGATACTTCTGAACTTGAAGTTCTAATTAAGCCACATGGATAAGAAAATTAGAAGTCCAACTACTGCTATGCCAGCTATCTGTGCAGACTAATCTACCTTGTCAAGTTAGGAGGCCTGAAGCTCTGCTTTGGTATGACTTTACTACTTCTAGATGGTACAATTTCTATACTGCATTGTTCCTTATAGACCTTTGGAGACTTTACTGTAATTTAATACAGTTTCACTGATGCTGAGAAAACTTCTCATGACGTATATTTGTACTATCTGGAGCAGGAACAGTAGTTTGTACTACCCTGAAGCACTGAGGTAGTTCATTAACACTAACTCTTTCCTCA